CCACTTTCGGTGTAACCGCTCTCTCTTTCCGCCACAGCGAGCCCCGCGGCCGCCGCTTCATCGTCCTCTCTATGGACGCCAAGCCAACAATCCTAGTAGCCGAAAAGCTTGGCGAAGCCGGAGTGAAGCTTCTCAAGGATTTCGCTAATGTCGATTGCTCTTATAATCTCAGTCCCGAGGAGCTATGCACCAAGATCTCGCTCTGCGACGCGCTGATCGTGAGGAGCGGGACGAAGGTCAGTCGTGAGGTGTTTGAGTCTTCCGGCGGTAGGCTTAAGGTTGTTGGAAGAGCTGGTGTTGGAATAGATAACGTGGATCTGGCTGCTGCGACTGAGCACGGGTGCCTTGTGGTGAATGCACCCACGGCTAACACAATCGCAGCGGCTGAGCATGGGATTGCGCTCCTCACTGCCATGGCGAGGAACATTGCGCAAGCAGATGCCTCTGTCAAAGCTGGTAATTCATGTATAATTGTATCAACACATACATGTATAGGCTACGTATTTTGATTTCTGCATTTTGTTGGTTTGAAATGAGTCTTTTTAATGTTAAAAGTTGTTGGTAACAATTTTTCTAAATGTGAATTCGAATAAAAAAGTTGAATTTAAATGGATAAAGCTTCAGATTCGAAGTATGCGGAATGTTTATGGGTCTTGAGACGGTAGAATGACGTTAGATCTGATTGCTGTGCGATCTTTTGAATTTGCTGCCATTTGAATATAAAGATAACTGATTCCTTAGTTATTTTATTTACTCTGCAGCAGTAAGTTATTTGTGTTGCCTTAAAAGTTGTGTGAAAGTTGAGCTTTTTTATTTTGTCATCCCTTTTAGTCTCAATGTCCTTCAGTACTTGTGCTCAAGAAAATTCAGTCCGGTATTAAGATGCTTTTGCATTGATATTGAAGACCTTTGCTTTCTAAAGTGAAAGTTACGAACTTCTTAATTTTATTTTTCTTTGGTTCGGAAATCCCATGTTTTATGTTAACACAATATAGGAGTTACCGCTTCACTAGCCATTAGAAGTACGCTGTTTTCACAGTGCACGTTGTCTCTTAACATCTCCAGCACCAACAGTTTGTTCCCTAAATCGATTCTTTTATAGATCCTATTTGTAACACAAATATTACTACAACTGAACATTCCGACCCTGTTTCTCTCAATATAGGCCATTTCTCCCCTTTATCCCACATCGGCTTCTCCTGTGTCTCACTAGTTTGAGAAACTTTAACTAAAGGAATTGTTTTCCTTGGTCTTGTTTTAAATCTTATTGTGTGGGAGTCACTGAGGATTATTGAAGTACTTTATGTTTTTTTGATAGTTGAATTATTTTATGTTTTTAAAGTATGATAAAATGAAACAACAGCGTTTAAGCCTCCGTTTGGATAAATTATAAATGCTTTATAATTGATCAAACTTGATTTTCAACCACACATTTCAATGGACACATCCTTTCTTAACCACACATTCCATTTGATTTATCCAAACAGAGGATAAGTGTATGAAGCTACTATATTCTGGTAGTTTTTTGATAATCCATGGATCTCAACTCTTACGTCAAGCTATTTTTGAACTCCAAGCCTGTTCTATTCATATGTAATATGTTAATAGTTCATTGCTGCCATTTGCACCTCTAGCTTCAAAATTAATATAATTACTTGAGTTATTATAATATAATCAATCCAGGTAAATGGGAGAGGAACAAATACGTTGGTGTTTCACTTGTTGGCAAGACACTTGCTGTGATGGGTTTTGGCAAGGTTGGAACTGAAGTTGCAAGGCGTGCCAAGGGGCTTGGTATGCATGTTATTGCACACGATCCATATGCCCCAGCTGACCGTGCTCGGGCAATAGGAGTTGAGCTTGTGAGCTTTGATGAAGCTATATCATCTGCAGACTTCATCTCGCTTCACATGCCACTTACTCCATCTACATCTAAAATTCTCAATGTTGAAAATTTTGCAAAGATGAAAAAAGGAGTGAGAATTGTCAATGTTGCACGTGGGGGAGTGATTGATGAGGAAGCTTTGGTGAAGGCACTTGATTCTGGCATTGTAGCCCAGGTTCTTGCTTCATTATCCTGGAAGAACAAATGATTAAATATTTGAGACATAAAGTGAAACTGTAATATAATCAAACAATATATTATTCATTATTACTTAGAAAATCTTCTTTGCAGGCAGCACTTGATGTTTTCACTGTGGAGCCCCCACCAAAGGACAGCAAATTGGTGCAGCATGTGAATGTAACTGCAACTCCTCATCTTGGTGCTAGTACCATGGAAGCTCAGGTTTACAGAACGCTACACTTATTTTTCTGTATGTTTTCTACTTGTTACCATGTTAAAATTAATGTTCAAACTCATAAACAGGAAGGAGTGGCCGTTGAAATAGCTGAAGCTGTTGTTGGAGCCTTGAAGGGGGAGCTTGCTGCTACTGCTGTCAATGCACCAATGGTACCTTCGGAGGTATTGCTTCTAATCAATTACATATATTCATTTAATTTTGCACCAAAGTTTTCATTTCATTTGTCAGTATTTATCCATAACCTTTTTTTTTTTTTTTTTTTTTTTTTTTTTTTTTTTTTTTTTTTAA